AGGGGGAGGGGGAGGGACGGATTAAGGCAAGACAGATGAGAGGAACAACGGTGCTGGTGAGGAGTATGAAACGACCAGCGATGATAATGGTTGGCTTTGCAGGCATGATTTGGGACAGGGCATAGGAGCGGAACAAGTTTATTTATAGGGCTGTTTATGAAGCTGATGCCTAGGTAAGGCTGAGAGCTCATAGCTTTACCTAAGCATCAGCTTTATAGATGGGGAAGTCCCCTACTGATGGCGTTTTTCATTTGCTTTTCTTGCTTTTACTTTTTTTTTTTGCTTCCCTTCTTTCCACCCATCAGTCCCTCCTCTATCCCTTACGTGGCCCAGACAACTGACAAAGAATCCACACCACGTAACCATTCAATGTACCCACTCAACCCCCTTCCCCTGCCTCGTATCCTTGCGCGCGAAACCAGCACACACCATCACTTCTCACACTCACCCTAAATTTCTCCCCGTGTTTCGAATGCTACACCCAAAAATATGCCCACGCATTGCCAACCCTTCTTCCCCTCCTCCTGTGCCTTCTGCAATGTACCCCCTCCCGAGCCCTTCCCGCACCTCATGTATCCGCGGCAAAAATCAGCACCACGGTTCCTCCTCCTTTCCACCCACCACCCCTCCCCTCTCCTCTTTGTGGCCACACCAAGTCACTACTCAATCCACTCTACCAACTCCCTCCCCCTACCTTCAATTCCCACGCCCTGAACTTGCACACAATGCCCTCTTCCACTACCATCCATCTGTAACATCGGGCGTCTTATGTCGCAGCACGGTAAGGATACTCAAAAAAATCGGCCGCAGATCGTGTAGGGGCCCAGCCTTGCCGATCCGAGCCAAGCCGAGCCGTATTTTAGTAATCACCTTCTTAACGAAGTTTTAACAAAAATAATCATTATGTGATATCCTCACAAACGAAAGGTAGGACCGTCTCCGATCCGAAAAACAAAAAGCAATAAATCCAGTAAAAAATCATTAAGTCGGACATCTAACCATTCATGCTGGGAGAAAAAAAAAACGACTACAAATAAAAAATAATCAAAAACCTTTTTGAAACGCGCAAAATATGTGATTTATTAATACAGGCGTTGTTGTAAGCAGCTGTATGCAGCAACAGCTGTGTGTAGATCTCTTTTATGGCAAAGATCGTTTCTGGTCTCAGTGGATATACAATTAAAAAAAGCATCGTGTTAAGCCAGGTAAATAACTGGTCCTTTTCAGTGAAGTCAAGGAGGTTCAAAGCCACAGTTTCACAACGAAGATCTCAGCCTTGTACTCGTAAATTGGCGAGTCTTGCGGGTCATTTAATAAGATGACTCGTTTTTCATATTATTTATTACCGCCGTGAAATATAAACTTCTTTTTAATATATGTATATATATTAAGAAATATATATGTATATATATTAAAGAGTATATATTCATAATATATGCATATATATTATAAATACATACACATATATATACATATATGTATGGATATGCATATATATTTATAAACAACAAACTATACTCATACAAAGTAAATTAAAATAGGAAATGAGAAATAAAAAGAGGCGGCGAAGCTCTGGGGCGACAAAGCTACCCAAAACAGAGTTGAGGAACAAAAACCCTAGATACTGGAGATGAGGAGGAGTGCTTTTATACCCGAATGATTACAGATCAAAGAGATTGCATATCTCCAAAGAGGACAGGGTGCCCAAAGACTAAACAAGGGAATAGTAGTGTTGCATCACAATGATGCAATGGTTCTTTACGAAATTTTAATAAAGAGTAATAAATCATTATGTGATAATGCAGAGAGTACTGAAAAAACGAGCCCAAAAACTCACGCTCTGCGTTGCCACCTTTCCCATTGGTATTTGTACCATCACGGCCCTGTAAAAAGTAAATAATGAATTTTTTATCAATTAACCAGTTGCTCGCATTTTATAAACTGTTAAGAGAGCCAGTGTTTGTTTTAATACAACGCTTATTCTGCTTATAAACCGCCAGCTGCGACTACCATATCCACTCACATGAAACATTAGAGAGCGGAAAATTTTTGGATGTCACTCCTGTTTCTTTAATTGTTAGCTGCATTCTAGACATATGCCAGGAATTTCGACAGTCCCTGATCTCCCCTCCGAATGCAAAAGCACTTCTTAATCGGCTTATTTCCAGCGACGTTTTGAAATCGGTGTTCAGGACATTCTTTTACACTGAAAGCAATCCCTAATGTATTTAGTCCTCATTCTTTACAGTCTGTATCGTATCACTGCTCGAACGATGGAGCTGCATCAAGTTGCGCCCTAAACCCTTCTTCTTCAGCTTATTTTGCTCCTTTCGAATATTCTTCTTCTTCCGGCCAAAAATGCTTGAGTTGCGTCGGAATAAACGCTCCTGCACCAATCGTTCACTAAACGTTACATGCTTCTTGTGTGAAAACCAACCTATAATTAGAAATTAAAAAAAAAAAAACTGTTCAAACCAACAGTTTGGGGAAAATTTGGAAACAGTGTACAAGTTTGCTTACATAAATCAATAAACGTGTCAGCGACTATTGCTACGAGGGTCGGATATGACCACTGTGTCGGCTAGTTGCTGCCTAAAGCTCGGAGCTTCTTCGTCTCGAAAGCTAGTTTCTTTGACCATCCAACGGCGTATTAACCATAGGCGAATCCAGGAAGAAGTCCCTGGGGGGTAGGGGAGAGGGGAGGGGAGGACACTGGGGGAGGGGAGCAGTGGAGGGGGGGGGGGGGGGGGGGGGGGGGGGG